GGCATTTTCTTTCTCATTAGGCATTATACTTGCAATTTATTTATAAAGGTGGAGGTATTCCCCATAGATAAGCTTTTTTTAAAACAGGATTTTTTTTATTTAGCTTGTTTTTTAAACCATTTGTTTGAAGTTATTTAACATATACACTCTTTCATTGGTAAGCCTTACCATTTTTCATATGTAATCTACCATCTTATACACATACAGTAAATACACAAGTTTCAGTAATTTTGGATGGTGCTGCTAAAGACATATTTGCACTTCATCTGCTCTTGATGTGCTGTGTACTTTAACAAAATACAAACATATAAAAGTAGTATTGTATCTGTCTGCATTTATGGGGAAAATGTTGCAGTAGATCAGTTGCAATATGTGAGATATTTCTGTTTTTTTTTTTTGTTTTGGTTTTTGTTAGCTAGCTATCCAGTCTATACGGATCTATGCAAACGCGACATGAAGCTCCTCAAAATCGACACTGGCAACTGGGAAGAGGTGGCACTGGACAGATCCACATGGAGAGAGAGCATAAAGGAAGGGTCTCGGATTGCAGATGTCATACACAACAGAAGCAGAAAGAAGGGTGAAAATGCAACGGCGCCTGGTGATTATATATGCCCAACCTGCGATCGCAGCTGTGTATCAAGGATTGGTCTCTTTAGTCACACAAAAAGTTGCAAAGGGAAAGATCGTCTCTCGAGACGTAAAATGCCACAGAGATCTATCCAGTCTATCATTTTCCTAAAACTGTATCTTGAGTTTATGGGGGGGGGGTGTATTTCTAATGTTGATTGAATGGTTGACATCTTAATTAGATGACCAATTAATAAGATTAATCACATGATTTTTGTATCTCCTTTATTTGGCCATTATTCTTCTAAATAATTTAAGTTCACTAGTGAATAATTTCCTCCCTTTGATCTCGTTGGAAGTCCGTGCCAGAAACTGATGTATGTATTGAAAGTCCGGACGTTTTTCTTAGCTTCTTTCTTGGGTATTTGAGAACCAGTATCATCTTGTAGCCTACTTTTGAGCTCAAGTAATGTGATTTGTTGAGGTTGAGTAATAGTGTTTATCTTGACATTTACTTGCATCCAGTAAGGTTCACTGCTCTTATTGAGTTCTTCAATGTGCTTATTACATGCTAACCTTATCTTATGTTGTCTTTCATCAACAGTTACATGATTATAGTCATGTCAGTCAAACAACACAACAGACAACTGGAAATGAAAAAAAGGAACTACAACAGACAGCTAAAAAGGAAAATACAGCAATACAACAGGCTACTGAAAAGGAAAATACAGCACCACAACAGACAACTAAAAATGAAAGTAAGCACCCCGCACCACAACAGACAACTGGAAAGGAAAGTACAGGACCACAACACACAACTGAAAAGGACAGTAAGGGACCACAACAGGCAACTAAAAAGGGCAATAAGGGACAACAACAGGTAACTAAAAAGGTCATTAAGGGACCACAACAGGTAACAAAAAAGGTCATTAAGGGACCACAACAGGCAACAGAAAAGAACATTAAGGCACCACAACAGGCAACTAAAAAGGGCAATAAGGGACCACAACAGGCAACAGAAAAGAACATTAAGGCACCACAACGGACAACTAAAAAGGAAAGTAAGACTTTAGTAAATGCTACAGATGACAGTACAACAACAAACCAGAATGCTAAAGATGGCAATCTAAATGCTACAGGTGGCAATCAGAATGCTACAGATGACAGTACAACAACAAACCAGAATGCTAAAGATGGCAATCTAAATGCTACAGGTGGCAATCAGAATGCTAAAGATGACAGTACAACAACAAACCAAAAAGCTACAAGTGACAATCAGAATACTACAGATGATAGTACAACAACAAACCAGAATGCTAAAGATGACAATCTGAATGCTAGAAGTTACAGTCAGAATGCTACAAGTGATAATCAGAATGCTACGGATGACAGTACAATGACAAACCAGAATGCTAAAGATGACAACCTGCATGCTAAAAGGGACAGTCAGAATGTTACAAATGACAATCAGAATGCTACAGATGACAGTACAACAACAAACCAGAATACTACAGATGACAGTACAACAACAAACCAGAATACTACAGATGACAGTACAACAACAAACCAGAATGCTACAGATGACAGTACAACAACAAACCAGAATGCTACAGATGACAGTACAACAACAAACCAGAATGCTAAAGATGACAATCTGAATGCTACAAGTGACAGTCAGAATGCTACAAGTGGCAGACAGATTGCTAAAATTGGCAGACAGAATGCTACAATTGACAGTCAGAATGCTACAAGTGGCAGACAGAATGCTAGAAGTGATAATCAGAATGCTACAGATGACAGTACAACAAGAAATCAGAATGCTAAAGATGACTATAAGAATGATACAAATGACAATCAGTATACTACAGATGACAGTACAACAACAAATCAGAATGCTAAAGATGACAATAAGAATGATACAAATGACAATCAGAATGCTACAGATGACAGTACAACAACAAATCAGAATGCTAAAGATGACAATAAGAATGATACAAGTGACAGTCAGAATGTTACAATTGACAATCAGTTTGCTACAGATGACAGTACAACAACAAACCAGAAAGCTGAGGATGACAATAAGAATGATACAAGTGACAGTCAGAATGCTTCAGATGACAGTACAACAACAAGCCAGAATGCTAAAGATGACAATCTGAATGCTACAAGTGACAGTCAGAATGCTACAAGTGACAGTCAGAATGCTACAAGTGACAGTACAACAACAAACCAGAATGCTAAAGATGACAATAAGAATGATACAAATGACAATCAGAATCCTACAGATGACAGTATAACAACAAAACAAAATGCTACATGTGATAATCTGAATGCTACAGATGACAATACAACAACAAATCAGAATGCTAAAGATGACAATAAGAATGATACAAATGACAATCAGAATGCTACAGATGACAGTACAACAACAAATCAGAATGCTAAAGATGACAATAAGAATGATACAAGTGACAGTCAGAATGTTACAATTGACAATCAGTTTGCTACAGATTACAGTACAACAACAAACCAGAAAGCTGAGGATGACAATAAGAATGATACAAATGACAATCAGAATGCTATATATGACAGTACAACAACACATCAGAATGCTAAAGATGACAATAAGAATGATACAAATGACAATCAGAATGATACAAATGACAGTATAACAAAAAAACAAAATGCTACATGTGATAATCTGAATGCTACAGATGACAGTGCAACAACAAACCAGAATGCTACAGATGACAATCTGAATGCTACAAGTGACAGTCAGAATTCTACAATTGACAATCAGAATGCTACAGATGACGGTACAACAACAAACCAGAATGCTACAGATGACAATCTGAATGCTACAAGTGACAGTCAGAATGCTACAGATGACAATCAGAATGCTACAGATGACAGTACAACAACATACCAGAATACTACAGATGACAATCTGAATGCTACACGTGACAATCAGAATGCTACAGATGACAGTACAATAACAAACCAGAATGTTACAGATGATGATCTGAATGCTACAATTGACAGTCAGAATGCTACACGTGACAATCAGAATGCTACAGATGACAGTACAACAACAAACCAGAATGCTAAACCTAACAATCTGAATGCTACAAATGACAATCAGAATGCTACATATGACAGTACAACAACACATCTGAATGCTACAATTGACAGTCAGAATGCTACACGTGACAATCAGAATGCTACAGATGACAGTACAACAACAAACCAGAATACTACAGATGACAGTATAACAAAAAAACAAAATGCTACATGTGATAATCTGAATGCTACAGATGACAATCTGAATGCTACAAGTGACAGTCAGAATGCTACAGATGAAAGTACAACAACATACCAGAATACTACAGATGACAATCTGAATGCTACAAGTGACAGTCAGAATGCTACAGATGACAATCAGAATGCTACAGATGAAAGTACAACAACATACCAGAATACTACAGATGACAATCTGAATGCTACAATTGACAATCAGAATGCTACAGATGACAGTACAACAACAAACCAAAATGCTAAAGATGACAATAAGAATGCTACAATTGACAATCAGAATGCTACAGATGACAGTACAACAACAAACCAGAATGCTACAGAGGACAATCTGAATGCTACAATTGACAGTCAGAATGCTACACGTGACAATCAGAATGCTAAAGATGACAGTACAACAACAAACCAGAATGCTACAGATGACAATCTGAATGCTACAAGTGACAGTCAGAATGCTTCAAGTGACAATCAGAATGCTACAGATGACAGTACAACAACAAAACAAAATGCTACAAGTGACAATCTGAATGCTACAGATAGCTATCACAATTGTATAAATGACAATCATAATGCTACAGATGACAATGAATATGCTATAAATCACAATACAACAACGAAACAGAATGCTAAAGATGAATGTACAATTCAACAGATAGTTGAATATAAAAGAACTGAAACTGAATTAGACTTTGACTTGAAGAAGAAGAAAAAAACTGCAATTAAAACAAAAAAACCGAGACACAGCAACATCTCCACTGACAAGAGAATAGAAGAAATAAACACTAATATGACAACTGAAAAAGGCTCTGAAAATGAAACTTCTACACTGCAGAACAAAGCTACGTGTGTACATAATAGAAATGCAGGGTACACTGGCAGAAAACAAAGAAACAGCTCTAGTGCAATTAAGAAAACAGAAACTAGAGCTGAAGCCAGCAACATGACTAAAGACAGTACAAGTGCCAATAACAAAACAATTGACAGCTCTGACGCTTTTAAAGAATTGGAAAAGGGCACTTTTGTCAATAAGAATAATGAAATAATGATTGGTACCAAGAAAACAAAAGAGAGACATGAAGCAATGGAAAAGAGAGAAGAAATGAGTGTCAGAAATAAGAAAAAGCAAGAGAGAACTGCTGCTAATAAAACAATGGACGTGAACGCTGAAGACAATTACAGAGAGAAAGAAAGAGCTGGCATCAGTGAGAAGAGAGATGAGCGCGCGAAAATAAACATGAACAGTGAGGGTGCAGTCATCAGTCGTGCCATTGAAGTCATCTCAGCAGCCAGTGTAAGTGAAGAAACAGGAGCTGTTGCTGGTGAGTTGAAGGAAGAAAAATCAGACTTGTCTGCAAATAAGAAAAGGAGGAAAAAGAAAAATGATAAAAAAAAACAAAAGGAAAAACAGAAAGAGACAAAGAATTGTAAGATTCTTATGAGGTTACACACTTTTTAAATAACAAAAGAAGATCTAAATTTTGTTACAAGCAGAATAATACTATTAAATGACAGAAAAATTAAGACTAAAGTTCACTATTGATTGAGTATTATAGGCATGTATGCTCTCTCTCCTTTTTGTTAATGTGAAATTCAAACCTTTTTATAAATTTCCATTTATTTTAAAAGAGGTGTGTAATTAAGTGAATGAAACCTAGCATACTCAGATTGCATTGTGAGTATACAGGTATATTTAGCATTTAAAAAATGCTTTTGTTATATTTAGATCCATAATATTTAAAAAAAAAAACTGTTTAAATATGATTTAAAGTTTTTCCTTTAAGTATTTTTTTCTGGTCAATTCCATTTTTGATTGTTTATGCATCATATGAAATTGTATATAAAAATTGCATTTTGTTTATTCATTAATGTTGACTTTTACTACTCAAGATGCATTTTAAATGTTTCTTAGTATTAATGAATTTAAATAGCTAATTATCAGTTTTTTGTCACTGTTAGAGGGAAACAAAATTCAATGTTGTCTCCTTAACAATGTCCTCTTATGCTGTGGTAGTCAAACAGCAGTACCACTTAGTAATTGACAACATTCCATATTCATTGTCTCTTAGTCTTAAAGTGTAGTGTTTTTTTTTTGTTTACAATTGGTGTTGTCTTTTGACGCTGTGAGTTTATTGTTATTAATATTTTTACAAAACTTGTTTCATATTGTCACTATAAGATACATTTTTCTTGTGATATGGCAAGTTTGCAGCTGTAAAGTTTTCTGACAAGTGATGAAAATCTTCATAGAAATGTAGTTATTTATGTTGCAAACGAACTAATATTCATTCTCTGGCACTGCCAGGTTCGAGTTTCGTTAGAGAGAAATAAAATTCATCTTAGTGCCTTTAATAGTGTTCCCTTTGGAATTTTCTAGTGATGTGGCAGGTCTGCAGCGATACCACCCTCTGATAAGGGCCTTGAAGGTATCTGCGAGGTCAGTTGTCATTATCCCCTTAGATGATATAGCAACAGAGAATATTATTATTTTAGACAACTTCCATAACTGCTTAATCTCTAAGCTAAGGTTTCCATATTTTCTTTGTTTTTCCATTTCAGTTTATTATTATTGTTATTACGGTATTATTATTATTATTATACTAATTGAGCTTTGTATATTCGAGCAGTACATTTGAATGCTCTCTCAGAATGTTTCTCAATATTCAAAATTTGTATATAGATACTATAAAGTATAATAAACATTCTTTCTTTGTTTGTTTAGCTTTGAATAGTTTGCAAAAAAATGAAATTCCTCATTGAAAATGTCTGGTTTCTTTTGACTATATCGATCCCCGAAAGTCTACATATCACTTTCTCTTCTCGATTTCTTACCCAAGTACATTGGACCTTAATACTTTTAAAGACACAAGACTCCTCAACATTAACTCTTTCTCTCCTAACTGACGATACCAACGTTGATTCCACTAGAATGTGGTAAATAATTACGGAGAGAAAGAGTTAAGCAGACACTCTCATAAATAATGTTATCTTAATATTTGAAACTCTGTTCAAGTCCATATTTTCCGGCTTCTTATTTTTTCACATTCCTTCCATTCAATACCCAAATTCGCACCACTTGTCATTCACGCCATGCTGCGCTACGACCGTAACCCCTCCCTTGTGTTTGCTAAGTTTAATATACATCGAACGTCATTCAAATATCAAATGAAAATTGTAAGCCACAGTACAATATAGGTATATTACATTCATTCATTCACATTCAGTTAAACCAGGTAAAAACCCTCAACAACAAAATCCCATAGCAAAATTACATATCACCATTCGCTACATTAATATTTTAGGTTCAAAATTATTTTCAGTCATCCCAATATACTATGCCATGACTTCCTCTGTGAACCCAATTAGAACAGATCTCATAATTTACAACTTTAAATATGTTACTATAAAAATATATTAAGTATACGGGTTGATGCATGTTACATTAATGTTCAAACTAAAAAGTTCCCCTTTTAAACTTTTCGATCGAATCTATAGGACAGATGATGTAAAGGTCATATGTTTCTGTGGCTCACAGTTAACGAGGGCGTCATGTTGCTAGCACAACGATCACCATCCTTCACTTTTGTCACATAAATAATGTGTAACAAATGCTGGTAATAAAATCTCGGGTTAGGCCATTTTGAAATGCTGGTAAAAAAAAAAAGTGGTCCTGGATCGCCTATATGGTGCTCCTAAATGCACACTATATTAGGGATTTTCAGCTTTAGACGCTTCGGAGTTTTCGTTTAGAAATAAAAAGATAACTACATTCTAGCCCATAACGTCTGCTCGAATCCGGGTCCATGGCCACCCTTGGGAATAGGCAAACTAGGCATACCGGTACGCCTAGGGCCTCTAATGGGTTGGGGCCTTGCCCTGAACGAAAAAATTAAAGACTAAAAATTGCAAAAACTTGGATTAGATCTCAAATACGGTAGAGCACTATGACTCTATGTTTCCTAGTCCAACTTTGCTTTATTTGAATGACATTTTTTGGTCGATTTAGATATATACAAGCAGGTATTTAATAACTTGCGTAATTTTATTTTTTCACTTTTTTTTTTTTATTTTTTTTTTTTACATTTCATTTGGGGGCCACCAAATTCACTTCGCCTAGGGCCTCCAATCATCCATAGACGGCTCTGCCTGGTCCATCAAGACGACAGTCCATAGCGCATACCGCATGGCCAGGCAGCATGTTGAACAAAACAATATCAGTGATCATATATAAGAGTTTTAGAAAAAGCTTATTAAATCTAATTCTGTACACGGGTTACACCGAAAGCTAGCTATTTATAGTTTTTACGACATAAATGAAAATCTGTTATGGCTGCATGTGATTCTTTCACTACATGAGATTTTGCAAGTTGAAAAGATCGTCAAAAATGTATTTGAAAGCAAATCATATTACAATAGCCCTAGAACAGAATCTTTTTATTGCGAATAAAATGGTGGGGAAAATACAAGCAGCATAATTCAACTGATCTCTGTCAATGAAACAAAAACTTTATTTGCTTAAAAAATCTGTAATTAAATAAATTTGTAAATAAATGGGCACTTTATTTTTAATTAACGAGATTAAGTAAAGTTACCCTTTCAGACCTTCTTCACCACCCGAACCCGGGACTCCCGGTTCGGAAGCGCACTTTACCGCGCAGCCACCGCGCCTCCACCGGGATTAAGGTGTCTTTCTATTGAAAGAACTCGTTAGATTTATACTAGATATGATTCTTTAAAAAAAAAGAAAGAAATGCAAGATAATTGGATAATCACACCTCACATTCGAAATGTGTTTTAAAGGGAAAATCTTATGGTTTTGAGTTATTGACATATTTACATTCTGCGTAAAACGTTATAATGGTAAAAAAAATATTATTTTAAATGCTTAGAAACATTTATATTTAATATTACATCATCAAGTGTCAAAACCCTCGCTTTTGTTTCTTTAAGTTAGCCTTTCATTTCTCATTTTGTTTTCGCTGAGATATGCCAGAAAGAATGTTCAGAATTTTTGTCGCAATTTTTAGAAGGTAACTTGAACATTTTACTCTGCAATGGCAACAAAAATAGTTAATCAAGGAAAAGTAATTCAAGATAACACGGATTGTTCCTTTCCCGCTTGTCTTGTTTCGACAATCGGCTATAATCTACTATATATTTTCAAGTTACCACTCACTGATTGATCAAGAGATCTCACAAGTACAGAATTGCATGATATTTCTTGCGTATGTTCCTAGCCCGTCACTAAGAATCGGTTTTCACCTGACCACCGCATTTCGCGAAAAACCGCAAGTTTTCTATCAAACCTTTGTTGGCCCTATTTTATTTTCGGGAGCGGATAAGTAAAAGTGATACTAGAACTCAGGGGAAAAAAGCATGTGTGCGGATCTTACCAAATGAGTCAAAAGTCTATATCGGAGAAATTATAATGCGCAGTTTCTTAAAAAACAAAATGGGGGATCCAGAGAGAGAGAGGGGACAGAGAAAGAGAGAGAGGAAAAAGAGAGAGAGAGGAAAGAGAAAGAGAGAATGAAAGAGAGAGAGGGGGGGGGACAGACAGAAAGAGAGAGGGGACAGAGAGAGAGGGGGGGGACAGACAGAGAGAGAGAGAGGAAAGAGAGAGAGAGAGGGGGGGGGGACAGAGAGAGAGGGGGGGGACAGAGACCAGTACGTTGAATTCCATTCTCACAGATACATTATTTCCAGGGCTAAAAAGTAGGTCAGGAGGATCGTTGAAATTCGGTCCGTTTATTTCTTCAGATTGTACTTTGGGAGAGAATACTTCTCCCAGATTTGAAGAACTGTCTTGTTTTCTGATCTTTTGTCCTCTCTGAGTTGAAAAAAATCTTTTTTCATAGTTAGCTTTATGTTCGGAAGTGCAAAACCAAATTTCTGCGGAACTAAACATTTCATCTTGAGGAGCTCTGGGTCGCAGGTTTCTTTTGAAGTGATTTTCGATGTTGAAACCACACGATACGAAGCATTGAGTTGGATTTCTGGATAATGTGGTATGGAGATAAGCATGAGAATGGGGAACATTTTCATACCAATGCCTGTCGGACAAAGATAAAAAGAGGCCATCATCGCCAGAAAAGAAAAACTAGTGCAAATAGAACAAAACAAGCAAAAAAAATATAGATATGTTTTAAAAGACAATACCTTTAATATTCTAATTCAAATACAACAAAAATAAAAATAATTAAGAAAAAATCAGGATCAATTCGGGTATCGCCTGGTCGTGCGGTTTGCGCGCTGGACTGTCGTTCGGTCTTATCGATGGTCCCGGGTTCAAACCCTGCCCGCTCCCATCCCCCGTCGTCCTGCGGGAGGTTTGGACTAGGAAGTAAACTATCTTCAACTCTGAAGGAACATCCGAAATAAGTAAAACATTTTACAAACATCGAACCCGTCACACCTTCAGCTGCTAGAACTTACGCATTTTCTTATTCGGCCAGTGAGAAAGCTTTACATTAGTGATTATTTATTGATATCTTCATAATACGGACATCTAAAGTTCTGATTTAGAACTCCTAAGAGCTAGTCTAGTCTAGGTGTCATCTCTATTAGATTTCCTTAAAGTATAAGTAACGTTTGTAAACTTCAATAAAATTGAAGCAACTTTAAAATGTTTGACATGTTTCGGATGTTCCTTCAGAGTTGAAGATAATTTACTTCCTGCCCAGGTTCCTGGATCCAGTTTTTTTTTTTTTTTTTTAACAGGATTTATGAAGATCTGACTTGAATAGAGGAATGGCTGCCTGGTCGTGCGGTTTGCGCGCTGGACTGTCGTGCGGATTTATCGACGGTCGAGGGTTCAAACCCTGCCCGCTCCCATCCCCGTCGTCCTGCGGGAGGTTTGGACTAGGAAGTAAACTATCTTCAACTCTGAAGGAACATCCGAAACATGCCAAACAAACAAAACATTGTAAAAAAAAAAAAGGGAATTTTTTAACCCCGCCCTAATCCTCCCCCTATAAGATGGTTAAGCGAATGTATAAATCTACTCAGAGTTTATAATGACTGGCATATAGATCCACCCAGACCTAGTGGACGGAGCGCTAGATGAATGTCTTTAATACATGCTGGAAAAGTCGCTGACGACATTTTACCCGTGTCACCAATTAGCTAGTAATCCTTTATTAATGATAAACTGTCAAATTTATACGAAAATCGTTAGAGCCGTTTTCAATATCTTTCCCACCCATGAATTTGTAAGCTGAATAGAGGATTTGTAAAAAGAAATCTTACAAAAATACTAACTGCGATTTTGTTGTTGTTTTCAACTTTAAACCTACAAATGAAATTCAAACAAATGCTAATAATAATAACAATAATAATGCCATATGGATACAATTGGACAATACCTTGGAAACAACCATGCTGCGAAACTTCTTAACAAAATGAAGACTACATTAAGAACAGTTGGAATCAAATTGATGGACTGTGATAGCCACACAAGACTCTTATGTTTGAAAGATACGCTGAGTCCGAAAGTTAAACTCAACATTAAAGAAAACTTGTACCGTAAACTAGCTGATAATGATGCTGACAAAACTCAAAACATTGATAGCACTAAACACTATTCGACTATTGGGCAGCGCTTTGGTCCAGACCCTCTACATTAGAACGTGCAGGCTGACCTGGATCGACGAAATCCAAACGACAAACAACATAATACCAAAAATGCCTGATGAGGATTTCAAAGCCTTGGAAGT